TCTTTTATTTCATTTGATATATTATTATTATTATTATTAATATTATTTTTAATCATTATTAGAAATGAACTCTTAGGTTCGGGATGTCACATTTAGTATCCGTGGATTTGATAGGATCCCTATTTAATTGGATGAATGGAATTAATGAATGATGAGTCAACCATTGATCAAACTAATATATGGGAATAAATGGAAAGAATCCAGCCATGGGTATATAGATTTGTTAACGCTTGAGTTCTGAATCTTTAATCACTATGTTTTCTTTATATTGGCTAGTTCATTGTGGGCATAAGGGTTTGGTTGGAGTTAATTTTTAATGTGGGATTAGTCTCATTGACTAATACCATAACAATGTATAGCGAAGGTAACGAGAAATGGATAAGAAATGGATATAATTTGTGAGAAAAGAAATGGATAAAGAGAATCTAATTGAACCCTAGATGTAAATAATTAATTTAAATAAATTAATTATATTGGTCATATTTTTTGACTATTTAAGGCTCCCCAATAGAAATAAAATGAGTGCTTCTAGGGTAAGTTACGAGATGCCCGAATGGAAGAGGAAATAAAGAAATTAATTAATATATTGAAAGGGCGATTAGGGACAAAAGCATACAAAGGGTTTTGAGGGTGTGTTAGAAATTAGAACTAATCTCGGATTAATTGAGACACAATTGTACTGTGTTGGGGTATTAACATATTATTCCCTCACTGATAGCTCAATATATACACTAGTGTCCCCAATTACATTAAGTCCCAGTGCCTAGCTAATGTGAGTGAAGGAATGTTATGAATATAAAGATTTAAATTTTGACAATATATTCATGTTGCGTAGGTATCTTCGAAGGTTCACCTCTCGACGTTAGAGACCATATTGTGGCATACACTTTGTGATTTCTTTTTAATACAAGTGTATAGTGAGTGATAATACTTGTCATTACATGTGATTTCAATTAAATTTCTTGATTATGTATATTTTTATATGTTGATCTATTATAAGAATATTTTCGAGATTTTTATTCATATCTATTTAAAGGGAAATAATGCTTCGAAAATTTGAGAGAGGTTTTGATCATAGATTTTAAATAAAAAACTAAGACAAGTATTGAAAAGATGTGTTTATGTAGAGATGTGATTGAAAATATTTTAGACTTGAAATAATCAAATGAAATGTATTCGAATCCTTGTCTCAACATATTTAGAATATATATTATTTCTCATTGAGTTGTAAAAACTTATACTTTATCTAAAATTTTTAGATTCTAGTGTGGAGTTGTTTTTAGGTTCAAACAAGTGATTGCGGAGTGTTTTCTTTGGTGAGCCGAGTGTCATATGGACACTTAGGTTGTATAAGCTTCTTTCATTTATTTATGTTTTGTAGTATTTGAGCTTAGTGTATACTCTATTTGAACCATAGACAGGTTCTTTTGTGTATTGTAATTCCAGTTGCAAGTTTAGAGAGTATAAGAGGTTGTCTTGTTATAAAGTGCCTATTGGTCATTGTTAGAACTTTTATAAAAATATTGGCTAGTATAAAATTTGACTAATATACAATTTTTAGGAAAGATTTTACCGAAAATTTTGAAAAATCTTAGACTTGGATTATATCTGTATTTACTTTTGAGGCCGGCTAGTGTTAATAATATCAGTTCTAGCACCGATCACTATTCTTGAACTCGGGTTTTAACACTTTTCCTCCACCTCTTTGCTGCTAATGCTTCGATTTGCTTCTTCTGTCGGTGTCTTGCTACATCATCATTTTAGTTCAGATGTGCTCCTTTGTTTTCTGACCTTCACCTGCTTTTCTATCTTTCTACTTCCTCTAGTTTAGCATATTATAAAAATAATATTATCCGAATGAACATGCACTTTCCTTTAAATTCTCTTCTACCATTCAACTTCTATCTAAATTAAACTGCTCTGTACAAGCTTTCATACTGAATTGTTCACTCCTCGTATACCCTAATTATCGTGGCACGTCGTCTAATTTATCCCTCACTGCTTTCATGTATCACTTGTATTTTGAAAATCCTGAACTTTGCTGTTCAATGTTCTTTGGTTTTGACATATGAGCATGGAATACTTTCCACTAATGTGTTACTTTCTGTGTAAAATTAATTTGGCGGATGCATATTTGTCCAGTTACACTAATCATACAAATATTGTCTCCAACATTTTCAAAGTATAAGATTTGTTTTGATACTTCTGACATTTTAATTGTTCCACTATGAATGATACGTTTTAAATCTTTTGTCTGGAGGTGACCAAATGGCAATATTCAAAATGTCAATTCCTTTACTAATTTATATTTCTCTCTGTCATTATTTCCCTTGTGTATATGTGACTATTGCCTTGCACAGTAATTAGTAGAACCTAAAAAGGTCATTGCATTAACACATGTTCGATAATGCCTTTCAGACCTACATAAAGTCTTTTATGAATGACAATTATGTATTCTTTTTTTTCTTACGATTATTTAGTAAAAAATAGGGTATTTAACAAACGAATCATGCTTTGGTTTGGATTGATTAGCTTTTGAATTTTTTTTTATATAATTTGGTTTGATATTTAATATCTAGATAAATCATATAAATCGAACCAAATTATATGGTTTATATATATACTAAAAAATTATATTTATATATATATAATTTATTTTTATTATTTGATAGTATATTTCTTTTTTTGTTTTATTTATATTTATATTTATTTTAATAGTTGATTATTTTTTTTAAAATGTGATTTTTATTAATATAAGTGAATTCTATTATAGTGAATAAATATATTTATTGTATAATATATAATTACTATAGTTAATTGATAAATAATGAATTTATTGAGTTGAATAGGTTGAAAAAACTTAGATGTCCGATTCTAAAAATCTTTATGTTGAAATTTTTTAAAAATAATGAATTTAATCTATTCTATTATACAGATCACAAAATGAGGTTCAAAATTGACCTTAGGTATGTAAACGGGTCGGATTTGGATCAAATCAGGATGATCCGAATTTGAATCCGATTATCAATGTGTATATCTGAATTTGACCCGAAATCCTATAGGATTTCTACTTGTTATTAATCACTCCGAATCTGATAAAAATCCGAAATCCAAATAAAAAATCTGATCCGAATAATTGTTAATAATAATTAAAATCAAATAATCAATAAGTAAAAGATATGTAAAATTAAATAAATTATTATTTATGAATGATAAAAATTCATATAAGATTTATGTTTAATTATTTTTCTTTTATTAAAATATAAATAAAATTTTAAAATAAATTATTATTTATGAATGATTAAGAAAAATTTTTGTTATATAATATATTACAAAAGTGACAAGAGAATTTCAATACTTTATAAAATTATCAAGTTTTATTTGTATTTTAGAACTTAGAAAATTTTATAATCAATTTATTCAAATGTTTCGTGAAATTTTAAAAGTAATTAATTATTAAATATAATACCTATTTAAAAAACTAAAATTAGGGAAAGTAGAAGAATATTATAGATTAGTTTAGAAAAAATATACATTATTCTATTAAATAAAATGTCTCACAATACAAATTAGTGCATTATTAATTATAATGTCATATATATTACATTATATATAAAAGTATTTATTAATATATATAATTATTAATTAAATAAAAATTATTATTAAAATATTCGGATTCGGATTTTTATCGGATCGGATTGCTTAATTCCATATCTGGTCTACTTATTTCGGATTACGGATATTTATAATCGGATTTAATCCATCGGACATTTTAATTGGTTAAACAGTCTAAAATTCGGATCGGATTTGGATTAAAATTCAACCCATTGACAGCCCTAACTGAACTAATCATAAATCGCGGTTTTATTTAATTTCTAAAAATAACAAATCGTGAAATATGATTTAATTTGAATTTGAGTACCAAACAAAACTAAACCAATCCAAGAACACCCTGGCCAAAAAGACTCCTCAAAGTTGTTGGCCATCTCTCTCTCTCTCTCTCTCTCTCTCTCTCTCTCCTCTCTCTCTCTCTCTCTCTCTGTTCCCATCTCTCTCTCTCCTACTTAAACACCACTAGGGTTACATATAAGACGGTCTTTCTTGTGCCTGCCTGGGGCAATCTGAAGATATTTGAGTGTTTGTCAATTTCGTATGGAAGCACTCAAATGAACCTTTGCATTAGAGCTCTCAAGTATGCTTCTAGATTTTGTATACTACGTGCCGGGAAAAAAAAAAAGAGGTTTAAGACCCAATCTTATGCATTTCTATTTAGGTCTTACATTTTTTGTATTTATGCAAATCTAAAATTGTTCTTGGGATTTTAGAACTTCTTTCCACTGCATACAACACTCATCATTCAGCAATGTTACGAAACAGTTCTACCATCGCGGCTCGGTAAGTTCCAATTTTCACCTTGGATGGAATCCCAATATGCTGCTGTCAATGAAAAACTTGGAAAACAACAAAGTACAAATTTATTAACCTACATCTGCATTCAATTTTTATTGTGAACAACTGAAACAGGAAGGCTATAACAAGCTTGCACAATACTTAGATCTTGCGAATGGCCATAATTTAACCTAAATGATGCATAACCTTGACAAATATAAATACTAACCAGTGTTGCCATTGGATTATCTTGATCCCGCTCAGCGAATATATTAAGATCTAGGCCGGATTGCCATTGGCTCGGTTTACCTCCCCAGGATTTAAACTCTTTCCACTTTGTTTCCTAATGTCTATATTTCTTTTTCGACCAATTTTTTGACAAGGGCAAATTGTGCCTAAGAAGAAGCAGTGCCATCACACCGCACCACACTGGAACTGCGACATTCATTGTGTGACGTAGTGGCACTCTACTCTTCTTTGGAGTCACCGCAATAATAGAGAAGGTATAACAATATGCCATGAACGTAATCGCCAACCACATAATCATCATTAAACCCCACATGAATATTTTGCGCTTTAAGGGTAGTCCGCTAATAAGAAACAGGATTGCGCTAAGTGAAGAAAAAAAAACCAATAGCGTTGGCAGAAAGGTAATATTTGTAGATTCCTGGATACTTAAAAGCAACAACAGCTTCCCCTGCATTATATTGTCCAGGTATATTTTCTTGCCAGACTCCGCCAGGAGGGTTCACCCCTGCCTGGAAAGCCATTGTTGCCACAAGCGATGCCATAGCCATCAGCGCATCTGTTTTCTTGGCCAACCACTTGCCTTGATTGAGTTGTCCGTGGGACTCATTATCCCCTTGTTTAGCTTTTGAATTTTTTTCAGCCCATAGAAATGAGGGCATTTGTGGATTTTTGTCATCAAATGATGATGTTCTAGCCTGACAGTGAGCAGTCGTGTGGGTTGGGAAATTTGAACTTATGACAGAAGGTAAGCCAGTAACAGCACATCCCTTCAAGTCTCCAGCTTCTTGGAGAGAATTTCCAATGTCCCAATCTAGCACATCTCTTCTACTTTGAGCTAGAATGTCCTACGCCGTGTATCCATATGCATTTTGTGCATTTACATCCACTTTACCAGTTTTAAGAAGATGCCTCACAGTCTGCAAATCATCAATAATTTGCAAAATAAAAGATTGTATAGAAAAATCTATTTATATAAATACGGTTTCTCATTTGAATACACGTTTTATTTTATATTCGTAATTCTTTTTCGCCAGCTATGCACGTGTGGCGGTGCGCCTATGTTTTTTCAAAGTAAGATCCCGTTTGGCTTTGATAAATAGATAAATATCCAACGTTTATGGACAAAATAAATAGGTACACACGATTCCATTTACAAGCAAGATCACAACCCAGTTGGCTTTACTTTTCAAGAATTCTTTTTTACATGATAAAGAAGAAGTATTTGAAGTTTTTGCTCTCGAATTCCCACTGCGTAATATTAAATGCAAACATACCGATGCTGTGTTTCGAGATTCACCCATAAAATAAATACATAAGAAAATAGTATGACTACTTTCGAAACGAATAATAGTCTAGAATTGAAATCTATTAATAGAAAATAATATATTTAAAAGAAAGAGATAAATGACAAAATACCTCGATTTGTTTATCTGCAACAGCTATATGCAATATGGTGTTGCCGTATTCATCTCTAGCATTGATCAGATCCTGCACGCCCATACACGCCAGAGCCGTGCTCTCTGTCCCCAATAATAGCTTTAGGGCCTCCATCTGAAAATACTTGACGCACAGGTGTGTGATGGTTTCCCCCTGGGCCGAAGAGGCCCGAGCCGCTTCCGGCCTGGTTCGGCCAACTCTTTCAAAACCTCTAAATTACCCTTGATGGCTACAAGATGGAGCGGGTTTAAACCATCCCGATTCAGAACCGAGCACATCTCAGGCTTGGACAAGACCAAATCATGCACAATCTGGATATACCCTTTGGCAGATGCCAAATGAAGAGGCGACGACCCACTTGAATCTAAAGCTTTGGCTAGCTCTGGCTTTAGACCGACAACCACTTTGGCGAACTCGCAATGCCCGAGCAGTGCTGCTACGTGCAGAGGCGTCTCGCCAAACAACCAACGATGATTCTGTCAAGAAGCAGTGGATGATGTCGATGTAGCTCCAGCAACAATTCTGTGTTGCCAGCGTGTGCTGCTTCTATGAGTTTCTCCACAGCCCGCTCCATTGTTGTTCCTGCTACCAGAATCGTGAATCTCTCTGTACGTCCATTGGCCCAACCATCGAGGTAATCCACGTGTTGACTCGCAATAAAGTCAAGTAATCCGCGTGTCGAAGTCTAGACAGCAAGACTTAGGGGTTGATCCGCCGGTTGACGAGTCCAGACAGCAAGACTTAGGTGTAATTTGCACGTACTTTTTAAAGTGTTTATTAGTTTTTTAATGATTGAAGAGTATTTAAAATTATTTATAAATGTACTTTCAGCTTCAATATTTTTTAAAAAAACTTTGATTAATGAAGAGTCAGAAGTAAGGGGAAAGGGTTTTTAACTTTAATGGTATTTTTATAAATAAATTAAAATTGTTTAAATTCATATTTGACACTTTTATCTTTGTATATTTTTTCAATATTCCAAGATACTCTCCTTTGTTATATACCTATTGCTTTAGGAGCTGGGGCTAGTTTGCCTCAGTTGACCACAATGAAAAGATGAGTGCCCGATCGGTGGGAAAAGGAGAGGTGGAAGTCGATCTCTCTCCACCGATCATAGCGGGACGAGGAGAGGCCAGTTTGCCTCTGCCACCAGAAGGGAAGACGAGTGCTCAATTGGCGGGAAGAAGAGACTCAACAGAGGCCTATGACCCTCTGCCAACCATGGCAGAAAGAGGAGAGGTAAGTTTGCCTCTATCGACCATGGTGAAAAGAGGAGAGGCCGGTTTGCCTCTACTGACCACGGCAAAAAGAGAAGAGGTCGATTTGCCCTTTCTAACCATAGCAGGAACATAGAAATCATCCGACTCATCTTTGAAGCCCAAAATCATTTGCCTTATTGTTCAATCGGAAGGCTTGGAGGTGAACAGATGTGGTAAACACAACAAACAAAAAATTTGATTGAATAGGGGTAGATTCTCAGTTAGAACGAGGGGCATACAAGGGGGAATTTTGGTCAAAATGAAGGGCATACAGGGGTGGATTTCAGTTATTCCCATCTAGTTAGAATGAGCATACAGAGATGAAGGGCATTGAAGTAAGGTGTCACGATTCAAAAGAGAGGTACCTGATCGGTACTAAAGTAAACTTATCTGTCCTAATCAGCCCTAAGAGTCACCACTAAGATATTTCTAAGTTTTAGATTCTTCGAAAATTTTGGCAGACCCTCTTCTAAAAAATTAGATATATGACAAATTTTTAACTTATCAAAATCACAATTTATAAAGTCTTAATAGGGACCCTAGACAGTTTATAATTGATAGAGTAAGATTTGACAATACTCAACATAACTTGCTTATATAAACTAGCAATTAACTAAAATAGAAATAATAATAATATAACAAACACACTATCCAAGAATGCATAGAAGGGAGATTCAATCTGTAGACAAATGGAGCAATTTTAATAATTCGTTGACTCTAAACTACCATAATATAATAATATAAAGACATCAAAATGGATGCCCAAACATGTGTTCAAGCGTTATGAGACTTCTTTATCAAGTAGGCGAAACTAGACCTAGAGGAAGATAAGTTGTGAAACTCAAGCAATAATAAATATTCTAAAAATGTTGAGACGAGTATCGTAACAAATACTTTTTGGAAATCCATTTCATAAAATTCGAATTAATAGTATAAAACACTCTGCAATGCTCATCTCTGTGTTTGTTGAATTTGCAAGTGCTAATTTGGCCAAGCTAGGAGATGCTTCTTCCTTATCCCCAGAGTTGCTCATTGGTTGCTTTGGAACATCCCTAGCTTGTTCTATAAGCTAGATCATCTTTGAAATTGTAAGCTCATGCTCCTCTACATTTAGCAAATCTTTAGCAATTCTGCTCCTATTTTCTATTTCTAAACCTGATGTACGTGTAGATCTCAGCTTGTTCTCCTCTTCAGCTTGTTCTTCTATTCAGCTAGATCTTGCCTCTAAAACTTCAGGTTGAAATATTTAGAATTGCTTAAGTTCTATTTTGGTTATTTTCTGAATCAGTAGGCATGTGAAGTGATTCTAAACATTCAGCATTGCCCTTCTGTTTTTTAAAATTTTTAGGAGCTAAATCTGGTGCAATGTTATCCTTCTTTTCATTGGAATTGTTGTTTTCCTCTGAATTTGAATGTTGTAGAATTTCGAGTTCTTCAGAATTATGCTTCGTCTCTGGTGCTGAATCTACAAATTTATGTTCTAGTTTTGAAACTAAAGGGGTGTACTTCTCTTTTGCTGATAGCTTGATCATCTTTTCCTCATCTATAGAAGCATCCTTCTCTTTTCTAGTTGGTTTTGGAGCAGCATCATCTAGAATACATGGTTGAAGCATTTCCTCTGAAATTATGACAATAAGCTGCCTTATTTGAACTTCTAGATTTTGGATTGAGGCTTCTTGATTGTTGGTCATTATCTCCTCCAAGCGTAGATTTACTTTTTCATGATACTCTTGGTCTTGATAAGGATGAAATCCTAGTGTATGTTGTGTTGCATTTTGATCCATAAAAAGTCTGATCAATTTCCCCAGCCAGGATGATAGGAGCTGCTATATGAGTCATTGTTGTGAAAAGCATCATAAAAACCAAAGTCAAAATCCTCAAGAGGATAAGAACCATAGTTACCTACGTGACTTTCAAAGCTTAGGTGATTTTCACCATACTAATCATAGATTTGCATTGGTTGGACTAGTTTTAAGCTATCAATCTTCATGTTCAACTCCTCCAATTGAGTTCCAAGCACTGAAAAAAGGTCCACCATAAAAGATCCCTACTCAAAATCTCCTTTAAAAGCCATGAATTTAGGATGTTGAGTCTCTCTCTCTCTCTCTCTCTCTCTCTAAATTAAAAAGGATAATGCAAATGAAAATTGAAAAACATATTGCATGCAAACTGGAAAACACAATTGACCTATCACTAAACAAAATAAAAACAAGAAAACAAAAATAAAACAAGTCCCAATTTAACAAGTCAAATTAAAATGACATGAATGTGCAAACTATCCCCCGCAACGGCGCCAAAAAGTTGTTGCATGCCTAGCACACTCTCCTAGCAAGTACATTAGCCATTATAAGTAATAGAGTGTGAGTAAAGTATCAATCCTACAAGAATTCTATTTAAATTATTTCAACTCAACTTTTTGTGTTAATTGGAAAATTCAATTTTAAAGAGAATGAAAATTCTAACAAATTATCAGCTAAGCTAAATTATCTATTTAATGACAACAAAGAAGAAGATGATAAAGAAGCAACTATTATGGGAAATGATGTAACCTACACGAATCCAATTATATTCTGGATTATGAATCAATTTATAAGATATGAGTCTCATAAGATGGTAAAATTTCCTAAATTTTAACTTTCATATCGGATTGATTAAACTATCTTATAACTGAATAGACTAGTAATTATCTACCGAGCCTTGCCCTATCTAACCAATTCCAATATGCATTATGCTTGGTGAAACCCTTTACTATTAGGCATATGACTAGACTACATAAATAGATCACACAAACTAAGCTCGACATTAAACCTAACTACTTAACCTAGGTTGTGTTTTGTGTTACTTTGACTATTGTAAAAGTTACTTTCAAATATCAATTCTACATATTTTATTGGCTCAATTTACTCCTACAGAACAACCATTGAACTGAATTAGATTAGCTTACTCCTACTGGACGATCACTAATCAAAATGCTCAATTAAATGTAGAAAAACGTTAAGTATTGCAACATAAAATCAAATGGGAACCCTAGGTTCCAATAGGTGATTAACAAATCAGTTTTGTTATTTAATTTGAAAATCACTTAGCCACCCTTGCCAGACGACAACCAATCAACATTAACACATTTAGCACACAAGCATGCAATCTGCAAAAATTCTAATTTCTCATAAAATGGTTCAAATCATTAACATAAGCAAGAGGTTGCAGCTACATCATCCCCTAACAATGAAGTTGACCCCATGTTCATGCACAATATAAGTAATATAGCTTAATACACGTAGTTTTAGGATTGATAACTAATAATATTAGAAAATAAAAGAAGAAGAAAACTCAACAGAGCCTATGTTTCCCCTCTTCCATTGCTGCTAAAGTTGTAGCTCAAGTACTCTTTTGTTGTTTGTTCTCTTCTCCCTTTGGTTGAGCCAAACTGCTGTAGACAGTCTCTCTCTGAAAGGGGGAGGGAGATGCCTCCCCAAATGCTACGTTTTTTTCTCCTCTTAAACCCCCTTGCCATGTAGCCTAGTCTTCTACCCACTTCAGCAACCTTAAGTCAAATAATTAATCATCAAGCAAATTTCATTCCAGAAGAACTCCTAATCCTTATCTTAAATTTGCCTGAAACAATCCATTCAAAAAATTTCTAATTATTCCAAGGATCTCCCCAAAATAGATGTTGAACCACCAACCCATTCAAATTTTAAGAACTTCCAATCACTTTAGCTCAAGCTCACTTGAAACATTCAATTCAAGAAAGTTCCAAATAATCCTAAAAATCTCCCAAAATAACTTTTGCATCACTAATAGTCATATTTTAAAAATTTAGATGTTTCTAAAATCCTCCAAGCCCAAATCTATCCAGTTTTTATGTAAAACTCATGTTTATAAGTCACATTCAAATCATTCTATCATTATTTCATTATACATACAGGAAACTATACCTTTCAAATCCTTTGCTGTTTATTAAGATTATTATTTCCAATTCTTCAATCTAACCAAGTTTTTCTATTTATGGTTATTCGTTGCCAATGCATTTTTAAAATTTAATACTTCCAAGATCAAACATGTCATCTAAAGTCACAATGCTGTACTTGTCTCTAACTTATCCTAAATAACTAATCCCTAGTTTGGGCTCATACTTTTTAACAATGCTAAGATTTTCTCTTTATAGTTACCAATTCAAGCCCTAGTTTATTTACTAAAATTCCTTAACTCCCAAATAAAATAATTTTCAAAGTCTATATCAAGGTCAAATCTGTAAACTTTAATACCCTAATTCCCACCTCACCAACCAATTGAACATATACCCATAAACATA